AAAATGTTGGTCACTAGCAATGACGCCCGGCGCTCCGTCATGCCGACCGGCCGTCCCCCAGCCAGCCGACGCCGATCTCAGTGGAACTCCGGCCGAAAATATAACCCCCCGTAAGTACATATAAAATTGTAAGAGGGTTTATGAGCGGTAATATTTGAAATGGTCCGCAAGCCGTGAAGTTTTTGATCGTCGTAAACATAACGTAACGTGATAAAATAACAGTTGTGCCTCGACTGATGGTCAGTTCTAATGCACTTCCGGCTTGAATTTAACTCAGAAATCTTCGACAAAGATTTTACCCCATGCCGTTTCAAAGGTTTAGTTGACAGAAATTGTTATCCATGTTTCATTTCGTATCACAAATCTTTTTAAATCTTGATAAACGCCATGGGAAATTACTTTGTAGCGGACTATACCAGCCAGTGCAGTACGACGTGAAAATGCCAGCTAGATGTACTCTCCCACCCGACTGTTCGGCAAGCTACAATGATATGGGCGGAGTTATCTTAAATGTGTAGTCTTTGATGAAAGGCCGATGGGTGGGGTGCTGAGCGCGCCGACAGGCAAAGTGCACCTACAGCTGAAGAACAAAGAGGGCCGTGTCAGCGCTGAGGACAGCTTTCCAGAACCAGGGCCCCGGGAAGGAAATCTTTCTTTCCTCTGAACAGAATGTACTTATAAGTTTTACGGAGTACAAAATAATTAACACATGTGTTTATTCCTTAGAAGTGTAACGGGTGGCAAATTTTAAGGCAGTACCTCTACAGTAGCATGAATACTCCGCCCAGTTCTCCGCCTCGATGATCGTTAATTAATTTCTCTCCATGGGTTGATCGGGCGGGTGCTATTTTAAGTGTTCGGTGCATTTCGTATAGTAAAAAAACCCAACAAAGCTACGTACTTGTACATCAACATTCAACTACCCCCCGCTACCGATGAAGTCAATATTGAAATACGGTCTTTTTTTCACGAATATTTATTGACCATTGCTTGCTTGATCACCAACACTCTCCGGGATCCAAAGCTGTACGTTTCGCCGCACTTGTCTTACCTTTCGATGCGGTGGTGACGTCTTGCAAGTCGGCTGCGGCCGGCGGTGAAAACAAGCCCGAACATGGAACGTTTCCCGCTACGTTACCATACAATCACGCAGTACACAGCATAAATCTAGTTTTTAACAATTTTAAAGCTGCAATTTTAAATTTGTTTGGAACGATGAACTGTCTTTAAGACCAGAGGTACCGGCCGTGCGTAGAAGGGGTGCGTACTTTATTCGAGTTTTTCCATTTCAGACGGGAACATTTGTCTCCCATCAGCCCCAAATTGGGGGCGCTTACCTTTAATCGGCCGTACTTAATTTGGGAATTTACGGAGGGATAAAGAGACATCGAAAAATGGGGGGAGGGCCATCGAAAAATATTTTGGGGTGGGGGAGGGCCATCGAAAAAAA